GTAGTACATTTTCACTTGAGCCGGGTTAGCGTGACACACAGACATGTTACACTTGAAAAATACCATTTTGTGATCAGATATGCCGTCATGGACAAAAACATTGCAGTCATCGAAGTCGTTGCTAACAAACAATAGATCAAGTAAAGAACATGACGTGCCAGTAACACGCGTGGGTTCTGTAACAACCTGACGCAGACCACGACTGAAAGCGAGCTCAAGCAGCGACTCAGACACATTTGTACCCAGGCTAGCCACACCATCTTGAGACCAACTTACATTGGGAGCGTTGAAATCTCCTCCTATTACTAATTTAGTTCGAGCATTAGTGTTAGCGATTAAGTAATCAATTATTTCTGTTAATTCTTCTGAGGACGACCCGGGTTTTTTGTAGACAGTCCCGAGTGTTATCCAAGCCCCGAAAAAGTTTAACTTGCACCAAACACTTTCTGTGTTACCAACGCGTTCCATTAACTGGTAAACAAGGTTTTCCTTTATAGCTATAGCAACCCCGCCACCTCGGGAACATCTATCTTTGCGAATTAACCTGTAGTTAGGCGGTACCACTTCACTGTTTTGAATACCTTCATGCAGCCACGTTTCTGTTATCATAATTACATGTGGGTCGTAAGTAAATATTAGCGCCTCTAGTTGGTCAGCCTTATTCACGATGCTTCTCGCATTTAGTGATATCAGCCTTAGCTCCTTTTTTTCTGTCTCGTCACTTTGTCATGCGGCGGTATCGGACAGAGGATGGCTACTCTGCCCAAGTTTTACTTTATCATTTTTTTGGTGATCCCAGATGTAAACTTCGCCGTTTATTTTCAGCTTATCGTAGGACAGATACACCTTATCACCTTTTTCCCTGTTAGATTGCGAGCTGCCCCAAAGCAGCTTTCTGATGGAGCGTACCCGAAATGAAAAGTCTTCACCGATAGATATATTCGTGCCTTTCAGCTTTCTTGCATTTTGAAGTATTACCTGCTTTTCTCGGTAATCCATAAGTTTGAGTATGACGGGACGTTGGAAGCCTCTGCGAGGCTTTCCTAGGCGATGAATGCGCTCGATAGTGTTTATCGTTACTTCTAATTTTTGTTCGAATATTTCTGTGAGTACCTTTTCGTTTAGTGAAGACGGATTTTCATCTGAAGGCTCATTTAGTCCATATATCACTAAGTTATTTCTACGCTCTCTGTTTTCGAGATCATCAATTTTTTGTTCCAGAGTGTGAACATGTTTTTGAAATTCTTCTGCCTGGGCCTTTATGAGGTCTTCGTTTGACGTAACCCTAGCGGACAAGTTCTCTAATTTTTCCTCTAAACCATTAGTACGCTTCAGGAGTGTGTCTACATTAGCACTAATTTTTATCAATAGCTCGTGATCAGTTGGCCCTGGGTTTGACTCAACGTCACCACAAACAAGAAGATTTAAGACACATGCACAACACTTCATCAGAAGAAAACAACACTGTGGGCTCGGCACAACAACTAAAAAGCGATTACTAGTTCTAAACGACTTAAGTACCCTTTTCCAACTAACCTGATAGAAAAGAATGCATGGTTTAGCCATGGTATCTTGTCGGCGAGTGCCGAACCCACTGGCGTGCGTCCTGTCTGGCTTGGCTCTTATGGGCACCGCTTGCAGCGCTGTTGTTGACGAAGGTTTGCAGAAAGGCGTTTCTTCCAGTTCCGGCACGTGTCGCTGTTCCAGATGCGATGACAGGCCGCAAATGCTGCTCCCTTCGAAGGCTCCGTAGTCTGCCTTGATGGTGCGATCCTTACGGCTATCAGAAGAGCCGGGTTCCGTGCACAACAGCAACATGGGGATGACCTGATAGAAAAGAATGCATGGTTTAGCCATGGTATCTTGTCGGCGAGTGCCGAACCCACTGAAACAAAAACAATTTAAAACGCAAAAAAATCGGAAAGTTTGTTGTCGCGGAGGGTGAAACCTCGGTTGGAAATTTGGAAAGACTTTGCAACAAATATGGCCGTCTCCGAAATGGAGGTATGCATGGGGATATGTGTTCAAAAGGAGGCGAAAGACGACAACACAAAAAATTCTCAAACACAAAAAAAAAAAAAAAAAAAAAATGGGAAGAGGAAAGGGGAACTTCACTTTGCAAGCACAGTTCCAAGGCCAACGGTGTCGGAACTGTGGGGCAGGGGGTGCATTCGGTCCCAAACCAGGATAGGCCCGAACATTTCAGACAATCCTTGCAAAATATTCGGAGGAAGGGGAGAACAATTCCCTCCTCAATTTCCCGAGCAGTTCCGACGCGACCACCGAAGCAAAAAAAGCTACAAGCACCAATGACAGCGAGAACAGAAAACAGAAAACCAGTCGCTTGCGCACTTTCTCTGCATGTCGCCTGCTTGAAAAACGCGAAAACACCATCCTATGCGCGAGCTTTCCCGCCATGCTTCTCCTCTTGTTACGTGGTTTTCCGCCGCGCCGTGAATGGCCAGTGGAGATGCTGCCGCTCTGCCGCCGCGAAAAATTTCCCACCTTCTAGAACCGCGTCGCTCTGCCGCTGCAGTTGGCCAGAAGCGCCGCGATGGCGAGAATAGCGCCGCCCTGCGAGCAAAATCGCTGCCTGTGAAACGCCGCTTCGTCCACGCCTCTAGCCTGCAGCAGCTCCGGGGCTGCTCCTGCGATACGATGCCATGTTGAGAATTACGCTGTGCATGCGCTTCCGGCACTGCAATTTTCACAGCGGAGCTGTTAAAGGCTAGTTTCCGCAGTATCGTGTCCGACAGCAAACAAATGAGATGGCGGCAACCTTATGAGCCTTTCCACCCTGGCATGCCGACTTGCAATCGGCAAGCCAGGCTGAAAGTTTTTTTTTAATTTTTTTATTATTGTTATTAACGTATTTGCAGCTTTGTAGAAGAAAAAATGGGTCACATATTTTCTTGTATTTTTAATATTATCTGTGCTCCTTCGATGACCTACAACTTTGATAATATTTGGTGATTGTCTTTGAACGGCACGTGACCGCAGTGAAGACAGTGAGTGCGACTCAAACCGGCCAGTTCTCGATCGGCGGTTTTCGGGCGAAAAAAAAAAATCGAATTTTGAGCCGCAAATTGTGTTTTGGGTAGCTAGCCTCTCAAATGTCACGTACAAAAATAAAAACAATGTCCAGCGTTAATACCCTGTCCCTTTAAGGAACGCAAACCTTTTTTGCAACCGAGACCGCATGATGATGCCGATCACCTTTCTCGCCAATTGACAGTTTTTTTTTTTTTTTTTTTTTGCGTTTCGACAGCAATATTACCTGTCCTTGCGCGGAAGGCCTTGGCGCCTTCATCGTATCCTTATCGGCTGGTATTACTATCGGAGTACAGGAACACATCTACTAAATATTCCTAATGATCGGTGCTCGACTACACCGGGAACTTTTGAAGTAATTCGTTTGGCGGAAGTTTATAGATAGCGGGAAAAACGTTAGCCGGCCCCAATAGACGTCTGATGTTTCCGCCGGACGAGAAATCGCGTTAAAAATCCCGCTAGCCCGAGGTTTTTAACGCGATTCGCGCAGTAGTGATAAACAAACGCGCAGAGTGATACGTGCAGTGGACAACGCGTCTCCAACGCGGATGACCAATACGGAAGGCATATATACAGGAGAACGCGGCGGCATCGGGAGGGTTCCGCGGCGCGGAGCCACGCGGAACCACTTTTGTCCAACGTCTACGAGTTGCGTCTCGACGGCTGAATCCCCCGAGTTGGAGCGTATGAAGAGGGCCTTGTCGGAAGCCGCTCTTGGTCGGATGCCGCCCCGGAGTGGTGGGCGCTGTTGTGTCGGCGGGGGACGCTGCCGAGATCAGAGGCGCCGCGCCGGGCCGCGGACGCTGAAGCGGCTTGTTTGCGCCGCCTAAACACGCGCCTTGAAGAGGAAAAGAGAAGCCGCTCCCCAAGGTGGCCCTGTTCGAGATCTGTGTGCACAGGCGGGCCCGGTTGCGCCGCCGCCGTACACCAGGTATTATACACCACGGGGATCTCGGCGCCCTGCCGCGGTAGCGTACGGTGCTTGCTGTGTTCGAAACTGCGCCAACTGCGCGACGAGTGCGGCGGTGAGGCGGACGCGGTGCTCCACCCAACGCCGTCACCTGTGGCTGTTGGTGACGTCAGGGTATGCTTGCGTGGCGGTGGAAGCGGCAGCAGCGCCTCGAAGCGGTGCAAGTATGGGACAGAGACGTGAGCGGGGTTTATGCGGAGATACTGCGCCTCCGGGAGTTTGGGGAGCTTGAAAAATGCGTGTGAGAGGGTATCGACGCTCTTATCCGATGAACCTTCGCGAACAGTTTGATATTTGGTGTGTCTCCACTGTCCGGTAAACAAATTAATAGGTAATTAAGTGGATATATTTGCGTTTTTTTACAAACGTCAATAAGATGCTGTCTAGATCAGAATACATAAAGAAACAGGATATGTGCTCCCTGATTTATTCCTCGCAACAATTATTCATCGCCATCACACACTTACGCAAACACTTATGCACACTTATGCAAAAAAAAAACAAAAAAACTTCTTTTTTTTAGTTGTAATCAATATGTGACGCGAATTACCTTAATATTCTTAGGGAACCACTACAGCATTTTCACATACCCATTAAATACTGCTAGGACAGGAAGCAACGGATATATTTTCGCTTTTAGTTTGCGAGCCTCATTCGACTGCAGTGTTTTGTGACCGGAGGTACTGCCGTTTCGACCGGAACGGAATCACAAAAAACACACAAAAAAAACTGGAGTGCTTGATGAAGGGGAATATATATATATATATATAAAGAGAGAGACAGACCGCTTTTAGATTTTGCAATTTTTCAACGGAAATCAAATGTCTGGCATGATACATTTACGTTCTCGAAGAGGAGGCTTTGGTTCTGGTGATATGCAGTTAGTAAAACGCCAACCCGAAAACATATCATGGTTACTTTAATAGTTGTCACCTTGCGGTTTATCAATCAAATTGCGTTCTTTAATCAATGTCCTCAGGCCGAGCCCTCAGCGCTCCCGTAGCCGACAGTCTGCAAGACCCAGTAGTGAGTCCCGACAGCCCGCCATCCGACAACAAGCCAGACCTGGGCACCGACCTGCAGAACCAGTTCCCTCTCTCCTGGCGCCAGCGCCAAGACCGAACCCAGGGAACGTCCTGTAGCCACCCGTGGACGCCTCCGAGCGTGCCGAATCCTCACGAAATCCATAGCCCCGATGGCGCGGTCGCAGCTAGGCCAGAGTTACCAGGACCTGTGCATCAGCAGCAGCAGCAGCAGCAGCAGCAGCACCAGGAGGCGGCGGTGCTACGCAGACACTTCAGCCACGCGTTTCCTTACATCCCAAGCAACGGAGGCTTCTCGGCCGTAGCGTCGGTCGTGAGCATCAGGGAGGAGTGCTGCAGGCCGTGCGAACTCGTCAAGGACATCGGGGATGGCTACGGTAACTGTGTATCTCCAGTGGCCTCGATGGCGACATCTCCCGACGGAAATCGCTGGAGCCCTCCGACACCGCCGTCGTGACATATACATCTATTGTGGAAATGTGTGGCTCGTGTTTACGCTTCTTAGATTCTAATACCTCGACGTTGTACGTACAAAAAAAAATAGTTATAAGGAGAATGTTAAAAGATTGGTGCTTGTTGCACCCATTTCGGTAAGAAACTTGGTGCACCTACAACAAGATGGCAAGGAGACCAGTGCTCGTCTCAAATTACCGCATCGCGATTCACTCTGAGCAAGAGAATTGGCCTTGCTTTGATCGGCTTGACCGCAGACAAGAGCGATTGGTATCATGACGTGATGGCAATGTGAAGTAACAGGAAGAATGGACGCTTTTTTTTTTTTTTTTGCCATTGACACTGCGTGAATTTGGGGCCGCGATTTGCTCACCATTCTTATTGGCTAAGCCGATTAAAAGATGGATGAATGACTGGTGTTCAGAGTGCATCGCGGGACACTAAAATGTATGCAGCAACTTCTGAGTGCAAGCTATCAAAACAAAAATAAGGGGCAGGGTCTGAGTTTGGATTTTGTCACTGATGATTTTATTGTAACATCTTTAGCTGCATGTGATGAATATTGCTCTAAAAGTCCCCACCATAGTTTTTTTTTAACAATGTACATTACAATTGGAGATTTTTAACTCACAGTGGAAGTTTGTCGTCGAGAATTCATCTGTACTGAACCATAGGATGCGACACTGCAAAGGTCAGACATACGGACAGTGTCTCTGTCTTAGTGCAGTATAGACTTGTAGGAGCTTTTCTGCGGTCTAACTATTTCCTCTGCGTTTATTTTTTGTTCCATGTAAGTGGCTCTTGACAAGATGCCTGTGGGACGATGACAACATGCATTCAAAGCATGCACCTCGATTTCTAATGATCTGGAGTGGTATCATCGGAGTGGGGCAAGTTTCCCTGGAACGAGTTCAAACTGCTCATGTGTGAAGCGACTATTACCTGACACAATAATAAGTTCGAACACTTAACTGCAATAAAACGCGCATCTAAGAATACGCTATAGTAACTCGTAGATCAGGAAAATGTGGCCGCCCCTGATTTTAGCGCTGTTCACTGCTTCTCGACCGGGTGCCTGTTTTTTGTCTTCGTATTAATTGACGCTAATAAAGGCTTTGGAGAAGCTTCTCTGGTTTCTTAAGTATTTTCTTCCAAATAACCCTGTCAGAATTCACAGAGCGACATTGTTTTATGCGATTTGGTGCCCCAAATGTTATATTCCCATATCTTTTCTGCTTGTTTTATTTACTTGGTTGCAAACAGATATCCACTTCGCAAAAAGACAAGAACGTACCGACAAGAAATACCAATTGACACCTTATATTTTTTTTTACACGTATTTTTTTTGTGTTGGGCGAAATGGGTATTACAAGATTTGATTGATAAAAGAAAAACGGTAGTTCTTCTGTTTGATCTTAAATTCATATAATTAGCAGCACTTCGCGAAGACCCGAACTTAAAAAAAAAAAAAAAAAAATATTACTGTTCTTGAGATAAAAACTCGTATATCATTTTTAGGCTTCTTCGAACTAACGGACGTTTCATCTCGTTCCGCAACACGTTGTTTAGTGTAGTTTGGTAGTGATAGTTTGGTGGGAGCTTAATTAACTTTGCCAACAAATGTTGAGCAAGACTCACATTCTCCTGGCAGGACTTAATTTCCAGACCCTTTGAGCTCGAGGTGCTTGATCGTTTTTTGGATGGCCAAAGTGCAGCTTCTCCCTCTTCGTGAGTTTATTTCTTGGTGTATTGTAGCCCTACAGTTAATCCAACTCAAGATATATCTTCGAACTTTTGTGGTGGATTCTAGCGAAACCTTAAGGCCCAGTCACACTGAGGCAACAGTCGGACTACTCTGTCCGGCAACAATTTGAAATGCTGTTGCCGGCGACCCTCTCACATCGCGGCAACAACAACAGCGGGACAACATGTTGTGTTCGCCCGCACCGTGTTCGTCGATTTGCTGTCACACCGCGCTGACGGCGGGGACAACACGGGGAACACTCCGCCATCTTGATTGTTTACCTTCGTTCATGTGCGTCGCGGCGTCGCTGGAAATGTGACTCTACAAAGTGCTAGTGCGTTCGAAGAGCCGGACATTACCACGAGACGACATCAACCACTGACTGTGATTAAAAAACTTGACACGGAGAATATTTTCCACTTTTTTTTTTAAAATGCTTTTTTATTTGTTGACAAAGCAGATAGCCCTAACCGAAGAAAGTGAAATCGCCGATATGTGTTCGGAATTTACGCCACCGTTTGAATTGTTTCTGTCCGATTCTTTCTTTCATGCAATTCCGATTTCTACTGTAAAATTGAGTTAGCACCGGCACAACACCAAAACGTCTTTTGTACCGCGGTGTTGAGGTGAACTGACAGTGCTTAAAAACTCCGACAATCTGCGTAACAAATCTTTTTCAACGCTGTCTATTTGCCTACCTCCTGGCACCTGCTATGTGATCGCTTCATTCCCCAAAACGTCCTGGGTATTTTTGTAAACAATTCAGGTGTCTGGTAGCGGTTGTTCTGGTTTAGTTTTTATTACAATTTATCAGCGGGTTAGTAGGCATGCCATTTTATTTTACTAGCGGTAATGGACCTTTTCCATATACCGACGGCACCAGGCGGTGGCTGCACGAACTAAAAATCACGGAAGTGACCTACCTGTGCTACCAATCGATAATGGGAGCTACGCTACGAGTTTCTTCGCTCTCTGAGCAGCGGCGCCTGCCCAACGCGACTTTAAAGAGGGGCATCCGTGGCGTCCACCCAAACGTCGTGTTTTCCTTTCCGTCGACATTCTTTTTTTGTGTAACACAATTATATATATATGCTGCAGTTACGTGTTCTACTCGCTGATATACAGCCTCCTTTCGAATTTCCTTAATTTTTCGTTCCGACTTCCACCGCTTGGCATCGGGCGCTCGCGCGTGCGCAGAACGCTTCTCCGAAAAGGTCCATTTGAGCTGGTCGCTCGGCAGTTATAATTTCAACACCAGTCTGAGCGCTCACGACCGTAGCTGCGACCATTTAGACAATCGCTTTCCATAATTATGCTGTAAAATCATTTATCAAATTATTTTAGCTGCACGCGAGCCTTACTTATTGTTGAATAACGTTTTCCAAGCCTTTATTCGAGTAAGTTTATAGGGAACTAGCTCTGCCATTGAAGCTATTTGTGTTGTCGTGTTTCCGGCCCGAAATTTGCCCAGCCAGTGATCAGGGCAACATATACGTTGTCCAACACAAGTTGCTGCTGCTTTTGTTGCCGAAAGCTCTCATACCGAGGAAACATTTTCGTTGTCGTCTATGTTGTGCTGCTTTTGCCGCAATGTGACAGGTTTGTCGGACAACACGGGGAGCGAGCAACAAGTTTACCGACTGTTGGACAACATGTTGTGTTGCTGTTGCCGTCGTGTTGCCTCAGTGTGACAAAGCCTTTAGGTATCGTATGCTAGAAAGCACCAAGTACTCGGCTTTGATGTGGTAAGTCAACTAAGAGATATACATGAAAACTTAGCTGAAGAGCAGCCCAGCTTCACTTGGTCGAAACACCACAAATGTCTAAAGACTCCTTTAAAAAAATAAGAAAAAAAATCACGACCTATAATGAACACAGCTTGCCAGGACATTGCTGCCTACCCTATGTTTTGCATTATAGTCAGTCATTTATTTTTAGAATTTTATACGAGGTATAGGATTTTACAGGAACAGCAGACAATTCCGTATATATATATATATATATATTGTCAATACAGTACTTGCTTGCGCGCTCCGTATCCTTCCGAGGAAGTGCGTTTTTCCTAACACGTAGATGCGCTGCGGCAAAGCAAGATACACAAAATCGCGTTGTCAACGTTGCAGGGGTCGCACCTCCGCATCGCACCCGTGTCTTTGGGAAGAGAACTCAGCGGAGCAAATGAACAACGAAGCTTCCGACTACTTTCAGTGCTCGTTACAAGGGTCGAATATTTACGTTATTACACTGTTATTTATAATCGAGAGTTCCGAGCAGATTACCAGGTGGAGATTGTGACTTCTACAATGTTTCTTACACATTGTCTTATAGCTGAAAAATGGGTATCACAATTTACAAGTAGAGATAAGTAATTTAGTTTGCGCAGGGAAACTTTCGGAGCACTAACCCGGCAGGTAAAATTTGGTACCCGCCAATACCCTGTAAAAAAAGCAAAACACACACAAAAAAAACCACCGATGTCGTTTTTGTCCCATCAACTGTATCGCGCACTGTTGTGCATTTGCACCCGTGTTCATTCGACAGAAACAAAATAACACCCGGAGTATACAGGGGAGGCATGGGAAGTAAAACCAGCACCTGCACGAGCGCGCGTTTGCATCATCGAACCGGCGTCTCCAAATAGTCGGCGCGGACACTCGTACGGAACACTAGCCCGTAATGACGACCCAAGCCGATCACAGGCAAAAAAATGCAGGTGCTTACTGTTCCGCCACGGGATTAGCCGTGCTCGGTCCCCTCGCTCTGTGTTTGCGGACCGGCGGGGTCTTTGGAGCGAGCCGACGAGGGAGAGGTGCTTAAAAACCCATCTCAGCATCGGGGGCCCATTTCGACTCGTGTTCCTGGTTAGTCCGCCAGGGGCGCACGTGCGGCAGTCCCGGCCGGGCAACACTGGTGGGGGAGCAGCAGGTGCGCTCCTGATTGGTCGCGCCGGCGATGACGTCGACGTCGGTGGTGTCGATGACGCTGCGTCCTTTTATGCCCAGGCTTCCGGCGTCCGCGCCGATTCGCCGCACGTAATTAAGATCGCGGCTGCCGTCTCACTACGAAAGCGGCGTTCGGATACGCTACGCCTTTTTTTCTCTTTTTGCTTTTTTGATTCGTAGCGGGAGAGCTTACACAGCTGCGGTTTGCTCGCTGGGTTGGTTGGTGCCACTCTCTCCCTGGCTTATTTTACTTTTTGTTCTATTACTTTCTTCGGTCTTGGTGCGTCGCAAACCTGTGAATGGCACTGATAGAAGGTT